CCCCCCCCCCACTGTTGGCTTACGTAATACATAATACTTGAAAGGCCTCTTATCAGAGCAAATTATCAGGGGCGGTCATGTTTTCAATCCTACGCGAGAGCATTGTCTGTCAGCATAATCGGGTAATCAGAAAAAAACAGGCATTTCTTATCCGTCATGAGGAAAGAGCCCTTTGCAAAGGGCAAGGGAGGAGATCAGTGGCGTGGCGTGCTTTGCGATGTATCGATTGATCGGCCATTTAAAGCTATGGAAAAGGATCGATAAACAGGGTGTTCGCAGCGAACACCTTAATAATCGATTCTTTACCGTGGGTTCATATGATATAACAATCGATATATCGCAATTCACGCCACGCCACTGGAGGAGATGGAGGGTCGCGTGGGAGTCGGCGAGCTCGGGGCGGGGGAGGGGGAGGGGGCGGGGGCTGATTTTTCATAAATTTATTAGGCCATCCGTTAGGAGTCGGACGGCATCCGGGGTGTGGGATCACGCGAGCATCGGCTGCGGTTACCGCTTCCCGCAGTTGCCCGTTGGATGTAAGAACTCGCCTACCCTTCGCATTGCCGTATAGTAAAGTAGGCGGATTTTACGACTCAACGGGCAAGATCGCGGTGGTTTTTTGGCTCGATCGTTGAGGTGGTCTCTCGGACTCGCATCGTTTTCCACTGCGAAACGCAGCTCCTCGCGCTGACCGATGATATATCGTGGCTTTAGTTGTCTGGAAGTGTTTGATTGCTCGGGATGAGAAGGAACCCTCGCAAAGTTCGGCTGGAATACTGCCGTGCTGAGTAAGAACGCTGTATGAGCTATCGGGCGTCGCCAAATTTCATTCGGCAAATCACGAATTTCAGGAAAATAAGTGGATAATGGAGATGTTGCATGTGTGAGGAATTTGCGATTTAACTATTGATTCTTATGTAAAAGTTCGCAAGAAACACGATGGTGCCGCTGGTTTTCTCTGAAATCAACTCCCAAGCTCGAAAAAAGCTCTCAAGTTTAGGCCAAAATGGAGGGGATATCCCACGCTATCCTGAGAGTCCACCTCTACATCAAGACAAACTCTCCATGCGAAGATAGGGAGCAAATACATTAGCAGGGTTTCCACTTTATTTGGGGACTCCAAAACTGAAA